AGAATTCCCCAGCCAGCATGGGGAATGGCTGGGGAATTCTGGGAGTGGAAGTCCACACGTCTTCAAGTTGCCAAGGTTGAGAAACACTGGTCTAGATGCACTGGGACCGTAGCTTCCAGAATTTCCAGTCAGCTCAGGATGAACATCTGGAGGATGTCAGGAGGAGCTACTAGTGATCAAAGCCTGCCAGAGTGCTAAAATAAAACCATATCAATCTTTGTGATTCACTAGCAAAATCAGTAAATTAATGCCCCAGTCTTGTTTTGCTTTTGGTGCATCTCAGGACATAGCACTTGGTCTGTCACAAAAATTCATGTCAACTGCATTGCTGAAGGGATAGAAATCGTATTTTTTTGTAGCTTGGTCCTGGGAAGTTCGATGCAATTGAGGCTTTGCATTTTTGTCTTCAAGTAGCTCTTAAAAGCTTAGCCAAATGTTTATACAGTACTATTATTTGAATAGTGTACCAGCAGTTCCAAATCTTTTGTGCATCCTTCATGCTTGATTAAAGGATCCCATTAATAGTGGAGAAAATGCTAATTGGCAATGTCTTTTGCCAGCCATTACCGGCCCAAATATCCTATATAATCCACTGTTGATTAACGTAATGAAAACTGATGTAGTCTTATAAGACAGAATATTGCAATGACAATGCAGCCCTCTGATTCTTGGACTCTCAACAACCGGTAGAAAACTACACTGGGTGTTTAGTTGCCAAAAATGCCTCCAGTGTAAATTATCTTTTCCAGGCAGAATGGACATAATGTATTTTCAATTGTTTATTCATTATGATCATCAAAACAAACAGTGCCGCAGTGGGGAGGCATATACTACCTCGATTTGAGTGGCTGAACTCTTTCTTCATTTAAGCTTGTCTTGATTTTCTTTGCTTTCTTTGGCAGGTGACATCACACAGAAGGGTTATGAAAAGAAGAGATCAAAATTAATTGGGGCCTACTTGCCACAACCTCCAGGTACGTGGAAGTGTAGAATCAGTGCATGGAGCTGTCTTGTGTTTTAATAATTACAACAATCTGTTCATGTGCATCTTAGAGAGGAATTATCTGGAGGCACAAAAGAATCTGTCACTATTGTGTAATGTGTGTCAGTTGCTCTCACTAGCTAGTTTTGTGGACCAGTGTATGTCTCCTTGTATAAATATATGGCATATGTATGCATCTCTCCTTGCACTCCTCACCCCCCACCCCAGATTCATAGCAATATGAATTGCATGATAAATGGAGCTGGATGAGATTGTTGAAAAAGGTAGCTAATTTTCAACTAAAATTATGGAAGTAAATAATGCCTGATCCCATTTTAATATATTTCCAATTTAAAACCAAGAAGAAGATACTTTCCTAGCGAATTGAATATTTCTAGAAATAGCCATTGTGAGCAAAACATGCTGTTTCTATGGAATGTGTCAAAAGGTTGTAAATCCTTGTATTTTAGTAACTTTAACTTTGGAACTGAGGAAAATCCTTACGATGTGCACCTTTGAAGGGAATGCTACCTCATTCATAAGAAGCAACCTTCCAAATTACTGGCCTGGGAAACATCTGTCCACAGTACCTCTATCTTATCTGGATCCAGCTTCAGTTAATTGGCCCTCACTTAGTCCATCGCTACCTCCAGGCAACTGTCAGCAGCTGCAAAGCCTTTCCTGATTTAGGAGAAAATGAGAAAGGAGAGATAGGTTGAGTTCATTCTGTGGACCCTGCGCTCCAAATTTATGCATGGCCGTGCCCAGCAACTTCATGTAGATAATACAAGTACAAGGGAAAGACTACAACCCCTCCTTATACCATACTCCAAGCACCCTGGGGCCAAAGAGAAATTTCCCATTGCCCTTCTCTGGTGGTGGTCCTACAGATAGGAATGAAACTTCTATAACCCACTGTTTCCAAGTTCAGTTTTAGGGACAGTATGTCTCAGACCAAGTGTGCTCTAATTATTCCTTCCTGATCTGTTGGATCTACTTCTTCCAGAACTGCCTAGCTGCTTAGTGTGGCTGAGGAATCCTGGAAGATGTATTTAAAATTCATCTGGAAGCTGTCAGGTTGGATGAGGCTATCTCAGATATCAGTACTTGGGACAAATGGCAGCATTCACTTTGGCCCACCTCACTGTGGTGCACATAACAGTAGCAGAAATCGAATGGTGAGCTAGGTGATTTATTTCATTCTTAATGCAGTGAAGTTTTTTTGTTTGGATCTATGGTATGGAACACCCAGAACACTTATAAAAAGTGAAAGTAAGTGAGATGAGTTTTTTTTAAAATAGCCCAAGGGATCTGGCTGGGCAGTAGAGGGGTTTTAACTCTTTGATGCCTGCTGGCCAATCAGTTTCTGCGCTAGCTATTGTAGGCTTCTTAGGGTCAGGAAAGTGGCAGGGGGCCAGATAAGACAGTGGAGGATGGGCAAGGAGCTGCTGCAGGTCCCAGTATTTCACTTGGTACCATAGCAGAGCATAAAAACTTGGTGTACCACCAATGGCTTAATGGTCCACTGCAGGCAGTGAGTCATTGACAGCACACAACTCCAGCTGGCACAGTAATTGCTTGACTTCACTGTTGTTCGGCAGTAGGGCGGCATGATGGGTAGGAAGTTCTCCAGTTGTACCAGTACCATTTTTTCTTACAGAGCAAATAACAAATGCAGAATCCCAACCTAGAGAAGGACCAGAGCAGGGAAGAATAGTTGGTGCGTGTCTTCCCCTTCTCTCTGTGATTCCTGACGTCCAGTAAACCCCATGCATATAAGTAAAAGGCTATTTAGAATACTGTTAGTTGATAAATGATGTCTCACTAGATTTGGTCCTCATTTCTTTCTCTCTCTTTGTCCCTTAATGAGGCAAAGAAAAACCCAGTAACTGAGCAAAATATTTTATACAAGCATGTAATTATAACTTAAAGAAGGTTATAATAATATAAATAGATTTCTATTTGTCACATTAGAGAACAGGAGCAAAGGACAGCTACACATCGGTTATTTTCATATGCAGGACCCATAGAAGCCAAGGCTGGCTGGCCTATTTCTTCCTGCTTTATCCTCTTATTTTCCCACTCATTCCTGAGTCAGGCCAGCTGAATACTGTATGACATCTGAATCCAGGATGATGTTTTATTGCACCCAGACAAGCAGGATTATTAGCTGGTTTTAAAGAAGCTTTGTTGTTTACTTATATATCCTGCCTTGCTTGGGCATAATATAATCTGGAATTTGAATGTCACACTTAAGTAATCAACATATAGTTCTGTATGGATGGGGGAAGCAAAATGTGGGCCATAGAGGCTTCATGGACTCACATTGTGGATTTTGGATTTAATGTTACAGGGACTTTGCCATTAGTCTCCACAGGTTTTGCTGTTTTCCCAAACAAGTCAGTATCAAGATTTTATTTTAGTCCTCCAAATATTTAAGAAGCCGTTTTAGACACATGCTTTCCCCAGAACCTGTGGCACCATAGCGTATAAGTCAGGGGTTAGAAAAAGAGATTCTTGAATCAAAATTGTCCTTCTGAGAGATGCTGTGTCCCTTTTCCCTAAGAGAATAAAGAGTCAGATGATTAACGAGGCATTTTATGGGAGTTGGGCATTGGTTTTAAGTGGATGGTGCTCACTTCATTCTCAGAGTTTCCCTCTGGCAAAACTGGTTTTGAATTAGGAGTTTTAGATTTACATTGATGCTTTCATCCTCAAGGCCAATAAACTTTTAGATTATGACTCTCAGTTTCCCAGAAGGAAAAAAAAATGTAGTGCCCTCCAGATGTGCTGTTACTAAAACTGGAGAGCAACAGATTGGGGAAGGCTGCGCTAGAGTAACTTTAAAATACACACATAGACTAGAAGAATTAGAATTGTGCATATTTGTTGTGTAGGTATACACAACACAAACAGGCATATTGTCCACACATACATATATACAATAATATGAATATGCGTATGTCCTCAGATTTGTTGGCCTCAATATATATTACAGATAGTCCTTGCTTAAAGACCACAATTGGGACCGGCAACCCCATCACTAAGCAGTGCGGTTATTAAGCGAAACAACATGTGACTGCAAGGAACTTACGATGTCACTTCCCCTGTGGTCGTTAAGCAAGTAACTGTGGGTCGTTAAGCAAGACATCAGGCTACTGCAATTTGTGATTTTACTGCCGGCTTCTCCATTGACTCTGCTTGTTGGAATCTGGCTGTGAAGTGCGCAAATGGTGAGTGTGTGACCACAGGATGCTGCAGCAGTCATAAATGACTGCCAATTGCGAAGCACCCAAATCTCAATCATGTGACCATGGGGATGCTGCAATGGTCGTAAGTGCGAGGACCGGTCATAAAGTTACTTTTTCAGTCCCGTCGTAACTTCAAACGGCCGCTAAATAGGGCAGTCATTAAGTGAGGACTACTTATATATGCTGAGTTATAATGAGGAAGATCCTGGCAGTATATTCTTATGTAGCATCATGAAGCATTTATAGTCTAGTCTCCATATCATATAGTGACAGATAATAGGCTGTAGAACAACTTTCATTTAACTTTATAAAGTCCCCAGGCTGTAGCCTGGAAGATCACAAGTGGGAGTTCACAAATTGTGTGTGCTTCCAAATCAAGTATAAAGGATATAACATTTTTAGCATTATCCACACAGAAAATTAATTTAGAAAAGGCCATTTCATACACAAAAACATTTAATTATTTGAGCCCTCTATTTCTCATTTTAGCAGTTAAGCCATGAACAGAATATACAAAGGTCAAAATCTGTCCTTTAGCAGAGTCCAGAAATCTATTGGCAACTAATTTTTTAGCTAAACTAATCCAAATTTTGTCCCATTATATTAAGAAAAATGAATTTTCTTTGCCAAGGAATTCAAAATCCTACTCTAGGAAAAGATCATATAGTTTACCTCTTTCCATTATGCAAGTAAAGCAAATATTTTCTTTATTTTTGCATAATTTATTTTGCTTTGGGGGGGGCACCTCACGCATATGCTTTTGCCAGTCCGATGTAGAATGATGAAAAACTTGACTGACCGTATTTTTTCTGAGACATCAGAAAGCTGGCTGATAAACTATTCAGACATCTTCTCAGCTGTAAGATCTAACAGTTTTACTCTTTTAAAAAACCAAAGTGTGATTGCTAGAATACTAAATTCAACTTCCGTTTACACACTCGGTGGAATTTGTAGGATTCCCTGCCAGAATTACAGAACTTGTCCTGCATCAGCTATTGCTGCTAAAGCGAAGTTTGCTTGGGAAAAATATGTAGAGATCTCCCCTGTGCAGACCTCTTGTTTTATTACACCAACAGAAGGAGTGGCTGTTAAAGTTGCACACTATTGCTTCCTAGAGCCGAAAGATTATGTATTTGTCATAGTCTTTGTTTCTATATTTCTGTCTTCAGTACTTTCCAGACAAAATTGGTGTTTTCTTCTGATGGAACTTGCATTCTTCTAGATTCTTCCAAAGGGGAATTGCTCGGCCCCACTTGGGGAAGATGTTGTTTTAAAGTGCCATCAGAGTCGCACTTGAGGCTGCTTTCTGAAGCCCCTTTTAATCACTGATTTGCTATGGTCTTCTGGGAAATGCAATGTCAACTGTTGGGAAAGTTTGGTGTTTTACATCTTCAAACCAAAATGATTGAATTCTGCGTGTAATGCTTTGAGTAAGGGCCTTTACGTTTTGAGCAAACGTAACCAAAAAATACTGGCTTGTAAACCGCAAGGCAGCTCTTGACTATTTCAACATCCAGTCCTCTGGCTGCTGCTTTGTTGACATTACAAACACCAATGTTGGCATAGTGGGAAATTGATTATGTGGCTCTGTATTACAGTGTTTGTATATGCGTGTGCCTTGTGTGTATGTGTGTGTGTGTGTGTGTGTACGTACGTGCAGGTACACCTGCTTTGGGGCTTATGTGTGTACATGCTTCAACTCCATTCGTGGCTGTAACAAATGTAAAAAAACTAAACATGATTTAATTAGTTTTTTTCAACTTGTTACAGCGGCGAATGGAGCTGCCGCGGTACGGTGTAGGCTGCAGCACAGTGAAGGGCCCGCGAGAAGGATGCACCGCACTAGCAACATTGGGGTCTGTGACATCCGGGAAGCAGCAGCTAGAGAGCGCACAGCACCGCACAGCACAGCAGCAAACCGGCCCCTCTTTTACTTTCGTTTTGGTGAGCGCAACAACTGTACTTATGTTTATATATCTGTATATTTTTGACAAACATATTGACAAGCACTTTGTTGGAAGATCTTTGGATTTCATGGACATGGTATGTTAGGAAGTTATAGCACAGAAGAGTGACACTTTCAGTCCCAGAATTGTGCACCATTTGTGTGCTGTCTCACAATGGGCGTCTAATACAGAAATATATTCTCCAGCTGCAGTTGTGGGACTATTAGAGTAGCAACATTCCTGGGCAAAGTTACAAGCTTTGCTTGATATTCCAAAGCCATCTCTGAAAGACAAGTGTTGACTTAGTCAAGGTCATTACTGCCAACTCACTTGCTAGTTTGGGAAAAGAGGCTGGAAGAACATGGGTTTCTGACATAAAGTTCTGATCCACACATTGTGGTTTAATATATTGTGTGAACCAATGAGTAGTAGTTTACTTAAAAACTATGGTTTAGCAAACTGTAAGTTAATGCTACCTGTGTACCTCATTATTGCCTCTCTGCTCAATCTTCTGAAAGCAAGTACTATATTCCAATGTAGATCTCTCTGCTGTTTTCTATGAAGCACGTTCTGAAGGACAATTCTACATGGTCCTGTTTGGTGGCTCTGTGATCTGTAATAAAGTATTCTTTTTCTACATAGTCCCTTCTCTGGTTATATTTGAGAGAGTATTGAAACAGGTGTATCCTTTCCATGGACTTGATGCTGATACAGTGATGGAGACATAAACAAGTACATTCTCATCCTGACTTGTTCATCATGCAAAATTTGGATGATATGGCAGATGTAGCCACAGAAAGATGATTTTTCAGCCATGTTGCCTATGGGAGGGGCCCCTAGGTATGTTTACAGCCTAAATTATAATTGGCAATAGGACTAGTTCAGAATCTGTGTGTAGATCTCTGAGTGAGTTGCAGTCCTTTAGAAAAGTTTCTGATCTCCAGCTGTCCAATAAAAGCAATAACTGAAACATTTTTCTCCTAAATTGGGCTCTTGCTGTTGCTGCAAAATAAATGCATAAATGAAAAGTTTGGGAGGAAAATGGGAATGAATCTATATGTGAAAGGACTTACATGGTTGTTGCTGATTCTGAGCACACAATTCTATCTTGTTCCTTAATTTTTAGAGTACTGACACCCTGTCCTCAGTGACTATTTTCATCTGGCTGTAGTTGGTGGACCTGATATCCACCAAACAGTAAAAGCAAGAAACAAAACAAAAACACCCTAAAACCAAAATAGATTCTGTTAAAAGCGAAAAGCTGTCTTATGCCAGGCCAGACTATTTTATACTACCTGGTACTATTCCATGGAAAGGCTTCTGGAAGTTAGAACTCTGCATCACCGGAAGATGTCAGATTTGGGAAGGCTAGTCTAGGAATTCTGTCTGGGACCTTCTGCGTTCAAACCGCTTGTTTTACTAATCAGGAATCTTCCCATGACATCAAAGGCAAAAACAAGATTCCTTTCAATTCCATTCTCCTCTACCACAATCAGTTCATTGGGGTGGACGTGGGAATGGTTTATAGTAAAAAAAATAGTATGTTAGGTCTGAATACTGCATGCAGGCCTCCTAATTCAGGACTCAGTGAAGGATTATCTCAGTGTATGACCATGGTCACTCTGTTTTGATTATGTACATTGCAAGCTTATGTGACTTGGTATAGAAAACAGCATTGAGTTCACTGGCAAAATCCAGGAAGAATAGGAAAAAAAAAACAGTTGTGTGCTTTCTAAGGCTGTACAGCACTTAGATTTGATTCTGAAAAGGTGCTTTGGAAAGTGCATGGCAGGCAGCTCTTTGAAACAGCAGTGCCTTTTCCCAGGATGCACCGTTTTGAGTAGTCCGAAAGTGGTCCAACATAGGCTTGTTCTGAAGGTTCGTTTCCAAGTGTCCCAGACCATTTCAGGAACACTTGGAAGGCCCCATAAGAAATTGGAATGTTTGATTGCCCCCATTGTCTTTAATATAAATTTATTCTG